TAAATGAGAAAGCAGCTCGTCTATTTAGATTTCTGTACTGGGCAAATTGTTTGCCACTGCTTACTGGTGAAACAATACGACTAGTTGTTAGCAATCATGCGATTGAAGCGTCCCCCGCTGGTGATATAGTCGTGGTAAGATATTTAGTAGTTTAGTATTGATTTAGTCAAGGACCTTTCAGTAGCGTGTCCTTTATCGACGAGATTGGTGACATGTCTTGTAACGTGGTGTTACATAGGTCGTAAATTCCTTAAATTTCGGGGCATTGGTATCAGAAAACAAAAAAAAAGTGCATCGCTATTGGTATGTTTACTCTAACTTTCTTGTTGTTATTGTTAAGTGCTTTTTCATAATCGGTGAGAACCGTTCCAATAGAGTGATTCTAAAATTAAATTAATTAAGTTATTATCCCAATATTTTCGACTCGTACAAGAAACAGAGAGCGCTATTCAGAGGGGTTGTGGCTGATAGACAGACCTTTGCTATGATGAAATGAACCGCTTATTTCGAAGTGGAAATGTCGCTAGAGCAAGGATGAGCGTTTATTTCTGTACATTATCGAAACACACTAAGCTGTATTTAAAATTTTGTAAAACACTCTATATAATATCTGCAATAAAAGAGTAGAAGCTTACCTTAGGGCATTATTCACAATGGTGTATTACTATTCGAGCCGCTCCAGATATACACAGGAGAAAGAAAAACACCTAATCTTGTATCGCAGATACCACGCAATTTTCTTTTAAAGGATACATTTGAACAGTTCTTTCGTAATTTATTTTCTAATTAACTCCGAATTCATTTTACGGGTTTGCTGATGTTTACTGCCTCATGCAGCTCACGCTTGGACGTAATACCCATATTTGATAAGGAAGCCTTCCAGAGATATCGATACCAGCGTCGCAATGTGTATCGTAGACATCCTTCGGAGGTTGGTCTCCCGATTTCCCTCCACCCGTCCCTTCACACTGTTCTTGACAAAAGAAGAGTAATCAGTCGGTTATTCCGATGTAGGGCGGATTTGGACCCCCAGTCCAAATTCGCCAGCGGATATGGCTCGTCCTTTTGCAATTAAGACAACACAGCAGCGACACAAGTT